ATTTGATCTCCTCGATGATAGCTAGAAATACAATATTCCTCATTATATCTAGGCATGAATGCACAATTTCATGTGTCTCGGTACAATCCATCACCGATCAAAGCATGAGACAGTCTCAACTCAAGAAAATCCAAGGATTTTAAATTAAACATGAAAAATCAATACATTTTTCCCGTGTTCGAATTTATTTAATATTATTACACTCACCTGTCATGTGTTCTCTAATTAAACCCCGAATATCACCCAATTAGACTAGTCAGAACTATTTAGAATATAGAACCGAGATAATTCATCACCCAAATACGAATCATTAAAATAGATTACATTGACACGAATTAACATCATGACTCGATCCCATTTTTAGTTGAATCAGTTGAAAAAAATTCTCATATCATTTTCATTGGTGCATTATCATTAATTTATGTGTTGTGGTACTAACTGATTAATTGTCAATTACAGAACAATCCGCTAACATAAAAAAAAAACTAAGTTATCCGTTGAAAAATCGGGATAATTTGACAATTCATGAAAATTTCAATTTTTTTCATTCGTTTTTTAATTTTTTTGCGACCTTCAACGAGACGCATATTGGATTATTATTCACTGGGGAAATTCCAAAGTAATTAAAAACTATCATTCTGTTTCCAATAATAATCAGAAGATTTCCGGTTGTCAATTAATAAAAAAATTGCTTTTATTTCTCATTTCTTCTTGCACCAAAGAATACTAACTTGTTTAATTCATTAGGAATTCCGAGAAAAATGAAAACTGAAAAATATTCTCATCACTATGAAATTTCCACAGTGAAAGTTCATTTATTTATCGATTTTTTTCCCATCCGTTGAATTATTCCAATACCGAAGAAGCGAAATGGAACCAGGCGATTTAGCTAATAGAGTTTTTGAGGAATATCTCTAAATCTAAAAGAGATACCGATTTTTTTGTAAAGCCCTTTTTTATAGCTCTCATTCCTCTCTACAAAAAGGGTTCAGTGAAGAATTTCGCTGTCGGCCTGCGATTCAGAGAAATTCCCTGAAAACTTGACGGTTCGCTACTGATTTGATAACAGTCGAAGACAGTTACATACAAGATTGATAAAAAGTGAATATCTAACAAAAAAAATAACACTATAGACGTGTTGTGTCGGAATGTATGTGATGCACCCCCTTCTGTGAATGTATCCTGGTGACTTGCAGACTCAGACCAGGAGGAGCAATCTCACAGCACTGGCCGACGTATCATCCGAAAACCTCTTGGTAAGTTTTTCGCCATTCCCACTGAATCAGGTGAATAAAATAGTTTGTCATTAATTATGTGACTGAATGGAATGGGACAAGAGGATTTTACTAATTCTCATTTATATTATATGGACGGAAGCGGAGGATTGCGCTTTAAGAGGATTATACACGTGAATTTTATTTAAAATTGTCATGAGTTATTGATGTCAGTGGGCGTAAGTTCTCGTTACAACTTGTTCGTTACAACTTGGATTATCCAATTTCTGGAGGGCTTTTTGAGAAAATCAGCTGATGCAAAGCAATGACTGTTATATTTAAAAATGAATTAATTTTGTTACATTGTGATAAATGAAAATTCTAGCTTGACGAGAGCTTCAAAGTAACAAAATTGACGTTAACTATCAGCAAAATAACATCCAACAGATTGAATCACCTGTTGAATTCCTCCGTTTCAAATTCCAGCTCGAGAACATTAAAAAAATGGATCCATTCAGTCACACGAAAAATTCCATCCAACTATTCCCCCACAATCACAATCTCCGGGGAAAAAAAAGTATTTACGTATTTACGCACTAGTATTTCACTGCAGAATTAGTTCTCATCGTGATATTTAGCAATATTCTAGCACAGTAGCTGAAGATCGTTAGAGAGACCACAAAAAGTCTAAAAAAATTCACTGAAATCCATAAAATGCCTGAAGAGATGATTAAATATCTGAAAAAATCTCGTTTTCCAGACTTCGAAGCTGGTGAGGATGGTGATGACTCGAGTGGAGGTGGAAATTCATGGCGAGAGGAGTTGCAACGGAGATATCAGCAGGACAGTGATTTTCTGGCTGAATTGAGGGCTAGGAATTCAAGTGTCTCCCAGACACCATCAGCAACACCATCCAGTGAACAGGAGCAAGAGCGAGGGGAACGAGAGGAAGCAGAGGGTGAAAAAGAGACAGACGCCGAGACCGAATGGGCAGAGGCTGTTAAAAGATGGGTTAATCGATAAAGTCCAAAAACCACCAAGAAGTCGGATGTCAAAAGATCACACAAAAATATTAGAACCTGAATTACGATTTAAAAGTCGTAAATTACGCGGTTTTGTATTATTCATTACAATTTCAAATGCGCAAATTACGATTTAATTTCGTAATTTATGCCTCACAACGCGTATTACGGT